GGTGAGGTGAGGTGAGGTGAGGTGAGGTGAGGTGAGGTGAGGTGAGGTGAGGTGAGGCGAGGCGAGGCGAGGCGAGGCGAGGTGAGGTGCATGCATGGGTGGGTGAGTGAGTGAGTGAGTGAAGGAAGGAAGGAAGGAAGGAAGGAAACACAAGAAGGAAAGAACACACCGCGAGAGAGGTGGAGGCGAGAGCGGCGGAGGGCGGGAGGGACTGGGGAAAGATTTGTGGGAGGGGGACAAGAGGAGATGAGGGATGAAATGGGACGAGACAAGGAAAGACTCAGTTGAAAACGCGGCCAGAAAGACATCAGAGAGGAGAGAAGGAAGGAACAAACATCCACAGTAGATGGGGCAAACTTTGGCCACACCCATTTGCCTCGTGCGCCATCTACTGTAGATGCAAATTGATGCAAATTGCAAAATGTGGGGGGTCGAGAGGGTGTGAGGTTGGACGCACGCAAAGTGCATGTCCAGGAACCAGGGTGTAGATGGCGCGCAAACCCTGCAAAAGTGACTTATCTCAACGTCATCTAGAGTATGACTATCATGCTGTGGCATAGGCCCCAAACACACGGAACATCATCGTTCAAAGCCTCTTCAGGGGCTATAGACATCCATAGACTACAGTACATGTTCGGTTTTTGCGGTACCTATACTAGGGGCTGCTGGCATCGTTACTAGGAGCAAGGACGCTACTAGGGGCTCCTGGCCTTACTACTAGGAGCAAGGACGCTACTAGGGGCTCCTGGCATCGCTACTAGTAACAAAGACGCTACTAGAGACTAAAACAGAATGACATTCTTCATGACTCAGAGAGTCTCCAAGTGATATCGAAACCGCGGTCCTTTGGGATCTGTCAGCTGCTCCCAGGTCCATTCCTTCGTCGCCGGCCATCTTGGGACCAAGCCCCTGAGCACCATGGGCCTTTGATGATGGAAGTCGCGTTCAAACAGCTCCAAGGAGAAGTTGCTCAAGTCCACCTGTCGTCATCACGATGTTTGAAACATCCGTGAGAGACAATGCTGAATCTACGATGTTTCACCTGCTGTTTCCTGGACCTGGAAGGATCTTCGCATAGGAACTGCAACATGCCAAACCAAATTCTCGCCTTTGGAACTATCCTCCGCTGACGGCTCTCGCCTGACCAGCAAAAGAACCAAATCATAAATTTACAGTGCCATCTTCACATCGACAAAAATGATTAACCTCGTCCTCAATCACACCGTGCAGCACCCAGCCTTTCATCTCAAACTCCACTCCAAGTGCTTCGCGACCAGCCACATGTGCTTTTGTCCAAGGGGCTGCTTCATGGTGCAGGAAATGTGAGTGATCGCCATGATCGCCACCCATGCCTTCCCTCACAGCATTCATCAAGGTGCTCAGGTACTGCTGAAGATGATTCCATGTTGGCCATGCGCCAGGGGAGCTCCCTGACACTTCTACCACCAGAAGCAGCGCAACTTTGGCGCCCAGCATCCCAATGCAGCAGATGTTAATCAGAGCTCTCCGAACCATTCCAAACCTGTATGCCGTTATCATGCTGTAAACAAGTGTGGAAATGGTGTGCTTTGGTCGTGTTGGTCAAAACCCCATATATTCCCTGGCTGACCCTGTAAATGAAGCAGAGCAACGACCAGGGGATGTCAACATACCCTGGTTTGGCATGTCTAAGTGTTGACCCATAGATGACATCCACAGTTGCCGCGGACACATGCAAAGCATGTCAGGATTGCAAAACCGGGGTGCCTGTCTGCTCTTGTGACAGTGTGCTTGTGTGTCCAATGCTTATGTTCGAGCCTTCGTACTCAGTGAAGCAAAAACACATGTTGCCGCATGAATGTTGCCGCATGAAAGGATATCTAGGGATGCATGGCAGTTTGCCTCTAGTTTCGCGAAGAATGGCACAACCCACAAGTCTGAAGGCAGGGATGGGACAAGGTTGAGCTCTCTTTGCTCCAAAGGCTCAACACCTGACCGAGGTGGGTTCTTTGATCAAGTCCTTCAAAAAGGCTCACCAGGCCAAGCCTGCAGTGAAGGGGTCATACTCATCCTCGGTGCTACCTGCAAGTGCCTGTCATTTGAGAACAAGTCAAAATGTGTCCTTTTTGCTAGTGTTACATAGAGCTACACGATCTTTGTTCAGCAAGTCATATGAGATACAGCTCCACTCCTTCAGCTTCTTTCGCTTTCCAGGCCTGCATCTGAACCTCTGCAGGTTGAGATGTTGTTGGCGTCACAAGAGCTGCCTGAAATGTGTTCAAGGAGTTCAAGGTGGATGCATACTTATCCACATGATTCAATATCTATAAATATCTTATATACAATATTTGTAATATGTTGATATTGTGTGACGGAGTGGTCCTAGTAGCGTCTTGTTTCCAATAGTTACTTGTTCCTAGTAGTAAGGCCAGGAGCCCCGAGTAGCGTCCTTGCTCCTAGTAGCGATGCCCTTTGCTCCTAGTAGCGTCTTCTACTCTATAATATGTTGCATCACATTTTGTGATGGAGTCCTTTACCCTATGGCACTCGGACTTGCAGGTCTCTGCTCGTTCACCCCTGTGCTGCAACGGGTGGGGGAAGGTAGGTCATGTATCAGATATATCACCTGTTGTAGGTAAGAGAACGTCAATGAAGCTTTACCAAAAAAAAGAAAAGGCGGAGTTCCGACACAGTTTGAAATGTGTGCCTCTCTCTGGGACTTCGAAAAAGAAACGCCCATGTGGGGCACGCACCCTGTGTGACACATGAATACCCCAATCAAAAATGAATTATCAATGCGAAACGTATCGAGCTGTCGTTGGAAACTTGATACAGTCCAGGGCGCGGCTTCAAGTGCATTTCAGTATCCGAGCTAGTGTATTGACCGGGATGGCAGCTTTAAGATGTTTTGAGTATGGGAGTGGCAATTCCCTGGGCTGCGTGATAGGGCTTTGGGAATTATAGAAAAATGTGTGATTGAAACTTAAATGATGCAGGCTTGTCGCCCCTGGTTTAGGGTACGCAGGAATCAATCGGCAGCTCATCAATTTCTGGAGAGCGGCAATGGTTCGAAGACTCCAGGTTTGAGTTGAGAAGGGAACGCTTCGCTGGAGGACACAAATTGAACTTCGGCAGAATAAAATTGAGGTCTGGACCACGACGACATGCGCAGGTTCTAGCTGACTGACAGTGTTAAGGTATATCAAGGTATCAAACGAACTGCCAAGTCTCGGTCCCAAGAAGCATCACCCCTTCGGTCCCACGGACGAGATCTCGTTTTCGAGAACCCCTAAAGGAAACGGCAAGCGTTGGCAAGGTATGGGATTTCACACCACGCAACACCCCAGTTTGCTGAAATATCCCATATTTGTGAGTCTGGGCGGGGTGAGACCAACCACTCTCAGCTCTAGGACCCTAGGAGCTCAGCACCTTCGCTGCCGGTGGCATCAAACTGCCCGCTTCCTGGCCGGGCTTGAAAGGAGCGTAGAAACAGTATGCAGCGGTATGAGCTTGTTCTATTGGCTGTCAAGCACTGTCATGCCACTCTACCTTCCAGAAGACGTTTGTTCAAAAATCGAAGTCTCAAGAAAGTCATTCTGTTGGCCTGTAGGGTGGCGCACGCTGGCATCACAACGGGCGGAGGTGCTACCTTGGGCACATGACCATCCAACAAACACAAAGAACGAAGCTCAGCTTGGCTCCAAAACTTCATCAGATTTGATGTTTGGTTTTGCAGAATCGGTCCTGTCGGTCTCTCTACTACCAGTAGTACTGAAGTTAAGCAAGTTTTCGAAATGACTCAGCAAAGGCACTTTCATTTCTGGCACCACGGGAGCTGGAACCACAGGGACTGAAGATGGGGCCGCCTACAAAACATCAAACAAGAAATCGTGTTCAAGTCTGTTCCACTTTATGGAAAGTCGGTCAAGTCTTCCCAATGGTACAGGTCACAAGCCCTCTTAAAGACTCTTGGGTGCCTGATGCAAATCCCCAGTCTCAATCTCTATTGTGGTGGCCACCATCTGCCCGGTGGCCGGATCCCATTCCTGTCACAGCACCATTTGGCAAAGAGCTCGACCCCAGCTACACAGCTACATCTCTTTGAGTTTTAAGACATCTATGTTCAGTGATGTTCAGTGTTTCTAGGTGGAAAGCAGACTGGGTTGCAATACAGTTGACCGAACAGTCACCCAAGACCACTGCTGGCTCTACCATAACTTCGTGTTTTTGCTTCGGAGCTGGAGGTGACGCAGCCGGAGCCTCGGGATCTATCTAGCTGGCTACGCAGGCCAAGGCTATCCATTTGACTGGCTGAAGGCCCCAACCAAAACAATCCCCCGCAGCTGAAGGCGAAGCACGGGGCTACACAGGGATGCACGAAGGCTAAGAACCCAACTTGATAGCCAATCCCTGCATCGGGCGCAGTTCGTAGAAAGGTCTGCATCGGATGTCTGATCACGGGTGATTCATCACCCAACAACCTGTGAATTCCTATCGAAGCTGCCTGGTCTTGTTGCTCCCCCAACCTCAGGCACCAAGAGCGTGTGCTTGAGAAAATGATTGCAGGCTCAGCAAGGTGCTAGGGCTGAAACAAACAGACCACCTCCGGCAGGAATCGGACCTGTTGCAGGCGATCTGAAGCAGGCTAGCTCCCATCCAAACAGCATCTGCCAATTGAGTTTCATGCTGACCCTCATTTCCATTGACTTTCTTGCTTGAAGAAAAGCGCTCTGGGAAGCTGACCATGTCTGTCGACCAGAAATTGGGACTTGGCTTTGGTCTTTGCCGCCGGCCTTGTTTTGACCAAATGGGTCTTCCCACTTTGACCAGAAGGACTGAGCTAAACACGCAGGAGCTTGTTGTGTCCAGACGGGTCCTAGTTTTGACCGTGGCCGTCTTGTTGCTTAGTTTTCCCACAAATCTTCTATATAACTGTTTCATACAGCGACTGGTTCTGCAACGGAGCTGTTGGGGGCAGGGCACCTTCCTTAAAGAACCCTCCTCACTCTACTGTCCAAGGTAGCAGCCTAGCTTCCTGAAGCTTAGGCTTAGTATATAGCCATAAGTAGCTATAAGATGCTATAAGTAGCTTGCATCCCTTTAATTATTTTACTACATACTACCAACATTTACCAGTGTCAAATTAGTCAATTTTTCCGAATTTATAGAACACTGCAAGGCCTCAGGTCTGAAAATCCAGATACAGGTCCTCCACATGGCGGTGGAGGTGGCCTAGGATTTTCAAGCTCTTCTCAAACATCTCTCACCGGAATTGGTCCAGTTCCTGGTCTTTAGGTCTTGGCACATGCAAAACCCCTGCAGCTCTTCTTGCTCCACGTTCTTTTCAGCTGCAGACGGGGGCAAAGGTGGCAGCATCTGCTTCGGAGGTGGCGAGATGCGAGGTGGTTGAGACGCTTGAGATGGTTGAGACCTGGATATTTCTTCAGGTTCCATGGATGTGTGGCTGCACGTGGTGCACTTGAGCTGAGGATGTCGCCAGGTGTCCACATCGTACCTGCGGCTCCATGTAGGAAAAGCCAAAAGAGCAAGTGCTTTCAGTGGCGAACTTCTGGCAAATACTCCTGTAGAGAAATTCCTCGTTGCCTTTGTACCTTGAAGGCGCAGACATGCTCAATTTACGAACATCATGCTGAATACCAACCTGAAACACGTGAGAAGTCGATAGCTTTTCTCCACAAGAAGCCATGTCCCAAAGGTTGGGCATCTGGAAACTCAGGCTGGCACTTCTCTAGAAGGTAATCAACTCTTATCACGTTGTCTGGCTTGTGGATTGAATAAATCTCCACAATGCGTTGTCTGTACCTCCAGAATCGAGCTCAAACAGCGAAGAAGTCTTCGGTGTATTGACAATTCCTGGCAGCGAAGATGTGTCGTGGGCACTCTGGGATGGACAAGGTATTGACCAGCTGGGGCCCAGGACAACCTCAAGGGCAAAATTGTGAGACCTCTGAGACCATTGCAACAAGCCAAAAGCAACAACTTCATGGAAAAGCATCGGAGTCTCGTCTATCTTGATCTATCTCTTGCCAACCCAAAGGCGACCCGCCCCTAACCAGCCCCCGTCGTCTCTTGCCTGACAATGGGCCTTGTGCTGGGGCTGCCTGATCGGTCAAGCCCGAACGGCTCAGGCTGCTGAATCAAGGTCCCAAAGTGTCCAAGTTCGAGGCTTTTGTTAGCAAGCCACCCGCATCCTAGGAGCAATGTTCACTACTAGGAGCAAAGGGCATCGCTACTAGGAGCAAGGACGCTACTAGGGGCTCCTGGCCTTACTACTAGGAACAGGAAGCTACTAGTAACAAGTGCATCGCTTCTAGTAACAAGTGCCTTACTGGTAGTAACAAGAACGCTACTAGGGGCTCCTGGCCTTACTACTAGGAACAAGAAGCTACTAGTAACAAGTGCATCGCTTCCAGTAACAAGTGCCTTACTGGTAGTAACAAGAAGCTACTAGGGGCTCCTGGCCTTACTACTAGGAACAAGAAGCTACTAGTAACAAGTGCATCGCTTCTAGTAACAAGTGCCTTACTAGTAGTAGCAAGAAGCTACTAGGGGCTCCTGGCCCTACTACTAGGAACAAGAAGCTATTAGGAACAAGTGCATCGCTTCTAGTAA